CGGTGAGGATACGCAGGGGAAAATTAGAAGGGCCAAGGCTCAAGCTGAGCTCATCTTGGCCACTAAAGTTAACAATAACCAAAAGGGGTTTTTTCCGTATGTAAACAGTAAGAGAAAGATTAGGGATAATGTGGGCCCCCTGATGGATGAGGTGGGCACCCTAGTAGTGGAAGACATGGAGAAAGCAGAGTTGCTGAATGCCTTCTTTTCTTCAGTCTTCACTGTTAGCACTGCCCCTCATGAATCTCTGGCCTTGGAGGCAAGGGGGACAGTACGGAGAGAGGAAATTTTTCCTCTAGTAGAGGAGGACCAGGTTCGGGACCACTTGGCCAAACTGGACATTCAGAAGTCCCTGATGGGATGCACCCGCAAGTGCTGAGAGAGCTGGCAGATGTTATCGCTGGGCCATTCTCTATCAACTTTGAAAAGTCATGGAGAACAGGAGAGGTGCCTGAGGACTGGAGGAAGGCCAACATCACTCCAGTCTTCAAAAAGGGCAAGGAGGAGGACCCTGGGAACTACAGAGCAGTTAGTCTCACTTCTGTCCCTGGGAAGGTAATACAGAGACTCATTCTAGATGTCATCTCCAAACCAGTTGAAGAGCAGGGGGTTATTGGAAGTGGGCAACATGGGTTTACCAAGGGTAAATCATGTTTGACCAATCTGATAGCCTTCTACGATGCTATAACTGGTTGGTCGGATGAGGGGAGGGCAGCAGATGTAATCTACCTTGACTTCAGTGAGGCTTTTGACACTGTCTCCCATAACATCCTCATTGGGAAACTAAGGCAGTATGGGCTGGATGAGGGGACAGGGAGGTGGATTGAGAACTGGCTGTGTGACAGGACTCAAAGGGTAATGATTAATGGAGCAGGGTCAAGTTGGAAGCCTGTAACCAGTTGTGTCCCCCAGGGGTCAATACTTGGTCCAGTGCTGTTCAACATATTCATCAGTGACCTGGACGAGGGGACAGAGTGTATCCTCAGCAAGTTCCCTGATGATACCAAACTGGGAGGGGTGGCTGACAGCCCGGATGGCTGTGCTGCCATCCAGAGAGACTTGGACAGGCTGGAGAGCTGGGCAAGGAAGAACCTCATGAGGTTCAACAGGGAAAAGTGTAGGGTCCTGCCCCTGGGGAAGAAGAATGTCAGGCACTGATACAGGTTAGGGGTGGACCCTAACCTGTAAAAAGGATATTGGGACAGGAGTTAGCAGGGCTCATTGAGAGGGCTTTAAACTAGATTTGAAGGGGGACAGGGTTGGAACCAGGGTCACTGAAGTGGTACCTGGGTCTAAATTAGAATCGAAGGGGGAAGGGGAGAATACCAGGCCCATTGGTAATGAGCCAGGGGGGAAAGTACCATGGATGGGGGTGAAATCGGGTGCCCGGCTTAAGTGCATCTACACTAATGCACGTAGCATGGGCAACAAACAAGATGAGCTGGAAGCCATTGTGCAGCAGGACAGCTATGATGTAATCACCATCACAGAAACATGGTGGGATGATGGTCATAGCTGGAATGCTGTGATGGATGGCTATAAGTTTTGATTGTATGGAAATAGATTGCAGCAATGATACAGTTGAGTGTTTATGGGTTAAGATGAAGGGCAAGGCTAGCAAGGGAGATCTGGTGCTGGGAGTCTGCTATAGACCACCCAACCAGGATGAGGAGGCAGACGAGGTATTCTATAAGCAGCTGGCTGAAGTCTCTCGATCGCCAGCCCTTGTTCTGGTTGGGGACTTCAACCTACCGGACATCTGCTGGGAATACAACACAGCAGAGAGCAGGCAGGCTAGGAGGTTCCTTGAGTGTATGGAAGATAACTTCCTGACACAACTGGTAGGTGAGCCAACCAGGGGAGGTGCCTCACTAGACCTGCTCAGAAATAGAGAGGGACTAGTGGGAGATGTGGTGGTCGGAGGCCGTCTTGGGCTTAGCGACCATGAAATGGTCAAGTTTTCAATTATTAGAGAGGTAAGGAAGGGGACTAGCAAAACCTCAACCTTGGACTTCCGGCAGGCAGACTTCAGCCTTTTCAGATCACTGGTTGGAAAAGTCCCATGGGAGGAATCCCTGAAGGGCAAAGGTGTTCAGGAAGGCTGGGTGTTTTTCAAGGAGGAAGT